TGTGTGTGTGTGTGTGTGTGTGTGTGTGTGTGTGTGTGTGTGTGTGTTTGTGTGCGTGTGCGTGTATACGCACACATTCATGTGCATGCCCGTGTATGTGTTCCATATCAACATGGGAATTCTTGTGAAGTTATTGCTGGCAGGTTACTCCCACGTGAGTCTAGTCCAAAGGAAACCAGAGTCAGTTTTCTGTGCAGATGTGGCTGAGGTGGCCCATCCAATCCAGAAACTCTGACTAGGAACAAAGGTGCTAATTTAAGCCCCGTGTGACCCTGCAAATGGGGATGTTGAGCGATTTGTCCCTTACATTCAGGGCATGTCCACTCACTCCTCCCAGGGACATCTGGGGCTAGCCACAGCTCCCATCTTCAGAACACATTTTCTGTGCCAGATTCCTGTTAAACACATAGCTGTATTGTCACCTTGGGTTCTCCCTGCACCCCTGCTGAGCACAAGCCAGCGCTCAGCCACCCTCATTTTCCAAAGTGCTGTCCAGCACCTCTCTTCCCTCTGAGATCAGCCTTGTGAACAATTAGTTTGAGCATGACAGTGGATTTCAAGTGAGGAAGTATGAGAAAGGAGAATTTCAGGGCATTTCTTAGAATAACTAAAAATATTACTCTTGTCCTAGAGTAGAAACGGTCCTCAGCTGTGTGCTGTCCACAGGACTGAAAGGGCCTTCTCATTCATAATCAGCAGATATCAGGGTGGGGGGGTGACAATGAGGGAAGGGACATCCTCAAACCCCACTCAAACCACCAAAGGGAGCTGCACAGCCTTGGAACACGAAGAGCAAGCACTGGATTTTCACAGACACCTTGGCCTGAGCGTGGGAATAATTCTAATAAATGCGTTGGTGTCAGAAGCAGTGTGACTCCAAGGTCAAGGTGAGTTAGGTCAGACAGAAGATGGACTGGAGATGAACAGGGCATAGAGAGAGATCCAAGAGCTGAGGACAGCCTATGGGGTAGGCAAGGAGACTAGTGTGTCTCATTACTGCAGTGGACTCCATCACAAGTGGAGGCCCACCCCACCGTCACACCCACAGTCTACACCTGTGACGCACAACCTGCCCCTGATGTGCCATTGCCTCTTCATGATGCTCAAACTGCTCTCCCTATCCCAGGGTCTCCGTCCCTCTGGCTTGAGCACAGCAGCTCAGCGTTGCAGCATGGTCCCCTGTCCCTCGGCTGTGATGCTCAGCTGTTTCTGTGGGGGAGCCTCCATCTTCCCCTCTCCCTGCCACACTGGACCCCAACAGCACACAGGTTGAGCCTTTGCTCCTCCCTGCCCCCATGCACAACTCAGCCTGCACCAGTTTGCCGCTTCTCTGTAGCCGCTTCTGCACCATGCCCCAGGCCTCTTCCCAACTCTGTCTCCACCCTCTGCTTCCAGGAATCTGGGCCCACAGGTGACCCCCCCCCCCGTTCTGCCTTTCTCAGCCTCCCTGATTTGCAGGGATTCCTTGTCACCTAAGTGCCAGCAGAGGTACTCCTCCCCATCACATCTTAAAAGGATGCCATTACCACACTGCCGAACGATATGGGCATTTCAGATGGCACATTCTCGGGGACCCTCCCACCCTGTTCTTTGTGGAGGGGAACTGAAGCTTGGAGGGGAGGGGTGACTTCCAGGTAGAGAGGACCTTTATGAGGCTACCCTGAAGTGTCCACCTCCCACCTTCTCCAGTTGGTCTGTACACTCCTCTGTGAATGGATACATCAATTCTTATAGTCTCACACACCTTTTGTGCCTGCTTGGAAAGGTCTCGTGACCAGGACCTAGCAGTGTCTCACAACCCTGCTCTTTTCTGGGTGAGAATGGCCATATTCTCCTTCTTGAGGCTCCTTCCCCTGGGCTTTCAGACTCCTGCATTCCTCACTTTTAGACTCTGGTAGCCAGTGTTATTGTGCGGCATGGCCGCTCTCGCCATCTTTTCTAGGATTAGGTTCCCTTGAAGGTGTGGCCCCTCCAACACATGCCTGTCCTGCATCGGTTCCTACCCATGGTGCCCCACATTCTCCATGCCTCCAAGCCACTGCCCTGCCTTGCCCTCACCAGTATGTTTAACCTCCACTGGTCTTTTCCCCCTGTATAGACTGCCACCATCTCAAACCCTGTATGCCCTGGGTCTTCTTTCCTGCGCAGCCACCCATGGCCAATGTGACACCATCCTCAGCCATCTGTGCAGCTGCCAAGGATCTTAGGATCCCTGTTCTCTGCACCTGACACACTGCCAGGCATGGAGCTGACCCTCCAGGACTCTACATTCTTCTAGCTCTCTCCAGTCCAGGCTGAGCCACAAGTACTCCGGCTTCTGTCACGTATCTGTTCCTTGTCAGCACTTAGTGTTTTTCCATCACAGTTTTATGTCTTCAAATCCCAAGATGTTCCTCTGTTACATCACATGACATACAACTTCCTCATCCCACATCCAGGCCCATGCTTAGCTTTGTTCATCTCTCTCTATTTCTCTTCCTAACCCTTTTGGTACAACCCATATGTCATAGCCCTCTCACATGAAACTGTATCTAAACATGCCCTTCCTTGACCCATAATGGCCCAATCCTCACCTTTTTGTCTACCAGTGTTTCCACATTTCTCTGCAAGATCCCAGTGTGGATGGATGGATCTCCCCTCTCTGTGGCACTTTCTCTAAACATCTTATAGCGTGGGCTGTCTGCTTCCCAGGGTGCTCTGGCTTGTGGTACAGTTGTTTGTTTAAGTGCATGGTCTTTTTAAACTTTTATACAGGCCCTTGCTATGTTGAACAGGTGGGCCTCAACCTCACAGAGATCTCTCTGACTCTGCCTCCTGAGTGCTGGGATTAAAAGACACCTGATTGCAGGACACCTGGTCTTACTTTTAAAAATGATATATACTTTAGTATCTCTTTCTGAGTTGGAGTTGTTTCTTAATGTGATAACCTCAAGTTTCATCTTTTTTTTTTTTTCAAACAACATGAATTCATTTTGCTTTATGGCTAAGCAATGCTCCTCCTATGTGCATAGCATATTTTCTTTATCCGTTCACCATGTCTGTACTCTTTCTCAGCCTGCTATATTTGATGTATCTTTGTGTTCCTTAGCAATAGATCTGTGAATAAAAGGCAAAATAGGTGTGGGGGTTGAGGCCAGATAATGACTTCCAACAGTGTACCAACAGTGCCAAGGCTTTCACCTTGGCCTTATGCTGTGGTACTTATCTGTATTCCTGATAAGAGAATGACCTTGAGGGTCCTTTGGAGGATGCATAGCAGAGGGCAGCTAGTCACCACTTTACCCAAGGTACATCATCCTCTTATCCCATCAAGTCCCTGCCCTCCTGTGCCCAGCCCTCCCCATCTCACATGGCTGCAATGCCAGGGCTAAGATGAGAATGACAGCTGCCCAGTTTTGCTGCAGGAAAACCCGTACTTAATGCTGAAGGGGAACCACCAGGAAATGGAAGGCAATGACCGCTACGAGGGCTTCTGTGTGGACATGCTCAAGGAGTTGGCTGAGATCCTACGGTTCAACTACAAGATCCGCCTTGTCGGGGATGGCGTATATGGTGTACCCGAGGCCAACGGCACCTGGACGGGCATGGTCGGGGAGCTGATCGCTCGGGTAAGGAGTCTAGTGGTCTGTACTTGTGTGGGGGTGTGGGGGGGGTGATGGAAGTGTGATATGTGCTCTCTGCCTCACTTACTTGGTCAGTCACACTTATATTTGTGTATTCGTTTCAGAACTCTTTAGTGAGCTAAATGATGGAAATGTCTGCCATAATCCCTGTTCCAGGAGCAAGTTGGATTTGGACTTTGGGTTCTATGTTTGGATGATCTCTGGGTTTATTTGTTTGCACTGATGGTTTTGTTGCTTGTTGACACTCCCTTGTCAAAGCTGGGACAGGCCCTGGGAGAGCAGGGGACACCTCCATCAGCTGACGGTGATGTGTAGAGATGAAAAGGGGAATGTGGTAACATCGGGAGCTAAGGCGAAAGTGTCAGAGGTGTGGGTCACCATGATGGTTAATTGGTTATTTCTTGTGTTATTTCCCCCATTGTTAATGTTTGTTCACAGACCAAGAGCCAAGGTGCACTTGCGTGTGAAGTCGGTTTTCAGGGTAAATGGGTGACTTGATTAGAAGTCAGGTGACCACCATAGAATGCCAGTCTTCTTTCAAATTAAAGCAAAGGCATAGAAAGTTCTTCTGGGGAAATAAAATCTTGTTTTCCTTGCAGACACTATCGGCAACCATAAAAATTAGTGAAATCATTGCTAACTCACTGGCCATGTTTCTGCAGTTGAATCTTAATAACCAGGACAGATAAAGAAGACCAAATGCAGAGAGCGCAGGTCTTGGTCCTTAAGTGAGCTTGAGCCCTTGTTTTCTTTCTTTGACTTCAAGAGAAGAAACAGCTTCCTTGGCCTGCCAGCATATGCTGATGGTCTGGAATGCTCTCCATGCAGCATTTCTGATCTCCCTGGACTATTGCTGTCCCCACTTCACATATGAGCAGTCTGGAGCTTTAAGAGCCTAATGGCTTTTTAAAAGTTACACTCTATTAGATAGGGCTGGGATTCAAGCCCAGATCACGTTCTCAAATGGAAATCATGTGCTACGTAGAGGTGTTTCTATCCATGATCATGGCCCCATAAGGTTATATTGTCTGGTGATATCATAGCCGCTTTAGTTTGCATGCTACATATGATGATGGTCTCATAAGATTATACTTCCTAGTGACATCATAAGTATCTTTATATACTCTATGATGTTTACACTGACAAAAATCACCTAACAACTCATTTCTCAGACCAACTATCTCCAAGATAAGTCCTCTATGGCTATAATAAGACTTTAATCCTTCCTACATGCCAAACTTAGGATATAAGATAACATTTTAAAATCCCTGTCTTTGAGGCTATAAATACCACTTAGATTGTTGAAGCAGTAGGTTCCTGTCAGTGACTGCAAAGAGTTCTACGTAAGTGAGAGCTGTGTAAGAGGTGTTTAAGAGCTAATGAGAGAAGATCCTGAGGGCCAGGCCAGGCAGCACAGACAGGGTAAATAGCAAACCTCAAGCAGGGAATTGTGAACCACCCAGAGGGCTTGGAGTTCAGGGTGAGCCTGTCAAAAGCAAGGTCTTGAAGGGGGAGGAGGTCCTCCCCTATCAGTGGACTTGGAAAGGGGCAGGGAGGAGACCAGGGAGGGAGTGTGGGGTGGGGAAGGGAATGAGGGAGCGGGATACAGCTGGGACACAGAGTTAACAAAATGTAACTAATAAGAAAAATAAAATTAAAAAAAAAAAAGCAAGGTCTTGCTTACAGACTGAGGCTGGAGGATGGGTCAGCAGAAGCTTCAGCGAGGTCCCAGGATGTGGTGGTTTACCATAGGTGTATATATTTGAATGCTCAGTCCCCAGTTGGTGGAACTTTTTGAAGGATTACAAGGTGTAGCTTTGTTGAAGAAAATTTGTCACTGGGTTGGGGTTTCAAAAGACCATGCTAGCCCCAGTTTGTTCCCTGCTGGAGCTCTCTCTTTTTCTCTCTGTCCCATTTTCTCCTTCCCTCCCTCCCTTGTGCTTGTGGATCAGATGTGAGCCCTCAGCTACTAATCCAGTGCCATACCTGCCTGTCTGACACCATGTTCCCCATCATGATGGTTATGAATGCTAACCCTCTGAACCATGAGCCCCCAATAAACAGTTTCTTCTATCAGCTGCCTTGGTCCTGGTGTCTCTTCACAGAAATATATAAGTAACTAAGACACCAGGACCTTGGAGATGTGGACCCACCCTGTGTGGATACAAAAGAGCAATCAGTGCCAGACATTTTCTAGAATACTCACTTGGAGACTTTCCCGTGAAAGCTCAACTTTACAGTTAGCCCACAGTGGGCTGAAATGTCAAGCCCTCTCTTTGCCCTCTCACCAATGTCCTTGGTCTCCTTGAGCCCAGCTCTTTTGTCCCTCCAGGCTGCCTGGTGTCTGGCAGGAAGACTTTAGGGATGGAGGAGTCACTGTACAGCCATCTCCTTATTAGCCCCCTAATGAACTGTGACATGGGCTGGCAGAGAGGGAGAAGATCCCAGGATGCAAAGGCATGCATCTACATACGAGTGACTTGGGCAATCAGACAGGGATCTTAAAATTCAACCCAGCCTGTGTTCCCACAAAAACGGTGCTGTGCATTGGGCGTACAGGAAATATTTGCTTTGTCATGTGCCAGCCTCTCTGGAAAGCAGAAGATAAGACCAAGGCCAGAGGTTGTGTACAATTTTCAAGTGTAATTCCAAGGAAGCATGAGGAAGGAGTAAAGATTGCCCGGCAGGAAGGGAGCAAGCACGTATCTGAGGGTGTGAGAGGAGCATCCGTCCTTGACTCTGTACAGCACAGGTGCTTCAGTCTTCAAGTCCAGATGAAACTGCTGCTCAGCAAGCAGGACACAGTTGGGAGAAGGACAGCTGACCTGCCAGTCCCAGCTCTCATTTCCTGGAACATGAGTTCCAGGAACTCACAAAGGACATTTTTTCCACTCCTTGGGCTGTGTACCAGTACCCTAGGTGCTATTAAAGGAATTGGATCCCAAGGCACCAATGGCAGAGCTGAAGGGCAGAGGGGGATCTAGGGAAGAGGGAGGAACTGATCCTGTGAGTGATGTGAGCCTGAACTACAGGTCCTCACTGTCTCTAAGCCTGTCTGAGGCTGATGATCCTGAAGGTTTAGATACCAAGGAATTCTGCATGTCCACCTGTCTGAGCAACCTCAGGATGTCTCGGGATTAGAGCCCAAGCTCCTAGTATGAAGAGTGAGGGTGAGCAAGAGCAGGCACAGCGCAGTTGAGAACACCACAGTCGCAGAGCCCCAACCACCATGTCACTGGTGGATCCCTGCTTTCACTCCCAACCCATTCCCAGTGCTGGTGGCATCCACATGAAAGGCACGCTGGGGGTCTTTTGTGAGTCATTATAATGCAGCTGCTGAAGAGTCTTGCCTTTCAGGAACGGTGTCAGGAATGGTGACAGGGATTCCTCAGTACCGAACAAACTCAATGATAAGAAGCTGGATTGGCCCAGGAAGGTATTCTGAGGCCATTTTGGCACACCAGACTGAATGGATGAGGCATTGGGTGTCCGCCAACAGGGCTGTCTTCCACATCATCCTGGACAAAAAGCTAAGCCAATACAGTTGCCGCTTCAGCAGCAGGGGAGATGGTGTGACATCAAAGGAAACTCTCCCAAGAGGCTTGGGACTCTCACTGAAGAATCTCAAGGCTTATACAGAAAAGACTATAGCAGAAACCTGCGCAGCTGCATGAAAGGAGCCATGGGGTTATCTCTGGCAATGGTCTTAGAGCCTTAGCCTGCTATTACTTCTTTACTAGAGGCATTGCCAGGGCACATGGTACATTAGTTGTAGAAGGGCATTCAAGCACTTCCTGTATATGTATGGAAATCATCCCAGCATGCCTTTCATGTAGATGCCACTAGCACTGGGAATGTGTTGGGAGTGAAAGCACAGGGATTCACAGAAGCAGGGCCAGAGGGCCAGCACCCTGCCGGGACTGAGTTTGAGCAGAAGAGAGTGACTGTCTGGAGAACTTTGAGTTTGGGTTTGTTTTGCCCTCATCAGCCATCCCCAGGCCCTGCTTGTGGAAAGGTAGGCACATTCATCAGAGGGAGTGCCCCCATCTAGCTTCACAGTTCAGAGCAAAGCACCCCATTGGCATGCGGCCCCATGTTGGCAGAATGGCACATTTAGGTTCAAAGAGAAAAGAGCTTTGCAAGGCTTAGATTCAAGGCTCATAAGCCTGGGACATCAAAAAGCTCTTACCAATGACATTTTGACGAATTAAGTGTAAATGAAGCTGAAATGCCTCGTCCCATCTCCCCTCCTGGGAGGGGACTTTGCCAGAGACCCGGAGAGGTGGCTGTCCGTGGCCTCAATCCACTGGGAAGATTGGCCGGAGACATTTTGCTGAACTAAAAGAAAATTCAAATAGTCCCCTGAGATCACTTTCCACCTTGAAGCCAGAGACTATTTCAACGGCAAATAGGTCATAGAATTGTACTCAGCATTCTTTAACTGGGAGAAATTGATCCTGGGGCCCCCAGATGAGTTTGTCGCTCCTTCTTTACCCCCATGTGGCAGCCATGATGTGGTGAGGGACCATTTTTGCATTGCTCTCCCCATCAAGGTTTCTCCCCCAACAACCTGGTAGAGGTGGCCTTGAGTTATAACTACACGCTTCACTCATTCATCAAAATGCCTATTTTCTGTCAAGAACTGCTTAAATATGAGGGATTACCTGTAAAAGGTTGGGAACCTATTCAAAGAGTTAGACGAGAAAGGTAAAAATTACTGTAGAGTGTGACATATGATGGCTGGAAGAATGGTGTCATAGGGATAAAGACGGCTAATACATTATTTGTTTCCTAGGGTGGTGGGGTGGGCCTCACTCTTGTTAAGCACACACTCTACCACGGAATGACACCCTCGGTTCACTAATTTGAACTTTGTCTCTTTGGGCATATGGAGGTGGGCAGCATGCACGAGCACACGCATGCACGCAGCGTGTAAGTATGGATATGGAAGGTCAGAGGGAAACTTCAAGAGTCAGTCTTTAGTT